CTTATATAAGATTCACTGATTTTATTACTGCACTAAATACGAAGAGAAAACTTTTTCAATAAACGAAAGTTATTAGGGTAAAGAAAGCTTTTAAAATTATATTCCCAATGAAATTTATTTACGCGAACAAAAGAAGTTTTATTAAAATTTAAATTTTAAACATACTCAATATTTACAACACTTACACAATGTTATCTAATAAATTAATACATATTATAAAACCTAATAAAAGAACTTACAAGCTGTTTCATTTTATGACATCATTACGACGAAACTAATTATTTTTTCCACAGACCGCTGCAGTCAAACAAAATTGACCAAATACCCTTTTTATTATGATAAAGAGATCGGTACCATTTGAGAGAAATTGATGATGATATTATTAAATAACGTTCAGTTTTTTCAAAAGGCATGGAACGTCTAATTGGTTATCGGTTATTTTATTCAAGAGAATGTCTAAGGTATTTAAATGTATAGGCAAAATTGGACTAATATCATCACGGGAAAATTTTGATTATTCTTTGTACGGAATGTGCTGTGGAAACATTCAATTGATGTTGAACATTTTTGTTTGCATATTATTCAAGAATTCTCAATTTCTTGTCATATGAAAGATTAGCAAGTGCACAGGCTGTTATGTTATAAGTGACGTTAAGTGACTACTGCCGCCCATTCATATGTATAACAGGGGAGTTGTAGATGCTGCCCAAATTATTTTAAAAGTGGGCCCCGATTAACTGACCACAGGAAATAATATATGCACAATAATAATATACTATTAAAACATGTAGAAATAATATAATACTTCCACTTCACGCCGGTCTTCTGCGAGGCCGCGGTATTTCCCGGACCAAACGTATAAAATATACTATTTAATATTTAGATTAAAATAAGGATACAAATAATTTAAGCACTTATTGGTCTCAAACTTAATTTTAAATGAAACCAGAACATAATAAATGTTTGATGAATACATTTAAAATAAATCATGATTTAATGTGTTGATGTTCAAACATTCTTAATACTTTTTGCGATTTCTTTCAAATTCTACTTAGTAATAAGCTTGAAATTCCTAAAACGAGCATAATATTAAAGGAGGAAGACTCTTTTATATGTGAGAGGTTTGTGCATAAGCTCAGCGTTTGCAATTCCAACAAAGTGACGTCAAGTTATTATATTGTTGCGATGTATGAAAAAAGAAATTTAGAAACATATTTCTTCCTTTACTGTTTATTTTTTATCATTTGCTAGTTTTCACATTTTTCTACTAGAGAATTTCTATTGCTTAAAGTTGTAGAAACATTATTTATTTATTAGTTTATACCCATCAGTTTGTTTTCGACAATTTTGTAAGAGTATTAACACGCAACTAATACTTCTGGTTAAACTAAGATAACCGACATAGCTCGGAGGATTAGCAAGCTGAAGTGGCGATGGGCCGGCCATATGGCTCGTAGAACCGATAACCGTTGGGGAAGAAAGGTTCTGGAGTGGCAGCCTCGTACTGGCCATCGCAGTGTAGGACGACCCCCACTAGATGGAGTGACGACCTGTGCAAATGTGCGGGAAGTCGATGGATGCAGGTGGCTCAGGATCGTACTTCATGGCAGTCTATGGCCTATGTTCAGCAGTGGACTCAAACAGGCTGAAATGATGATGATGATGATGAAACCCCTTTTTAGGACTGCAGGTTTTTAGAACTTATATAGTCTTTGTTTACATATAACGCAAAAGGAAAAGTATCTCTATTATCCATTTTCACTAAAGAAAATGTGTTTGATCATTTGAAGATTCTTTTCGATTCGTTGGAATTTTATAAAAACACTAGCTGTGCCCACGACGCGTGTAATTATACTTTATATTAAATTAATAAAAATAAATAGAATTTCTAAATTAAACAAATAAATTACCTAAGTTACTCCTTATTACATCAGCTACCTGCCAGTGAAATCCCGCCAAAATCGGTCCAGCCGTTTCACAGATTAGCCGGAACAAACAGAGAGACAGACAGACAAAGATTGTAAGAAATATTATTTTGGTATATGTACCGGGTATACATCCATATGCATTTAGTAAAAAGCGGTTATTTGAATATTACAAACAGACACTCCAGTCGTGATAGCTCAGTGCCCGGGCACTCGCCTTTAATTCAATATACTCGAGCGACCTGAGTTCGATCCCCGGTGCCGGCACCAATGAAATTGTTAATTTTAAGTGCCGAATTATCACATGCTTTGCGGCGAAGGAAAACATCGTGAGGAAACCTGCATATTTTCGAAATAATAACAAAAAAAATATTAAAAATAATTTAAATAATAATTCAAAAAATAATTTCGAAGATATGTGAAGTCCGCCAATCCGCAGTGGGGCTGCGTGGTGGACTTTGCCCTGATACCCTCTGTACAAGGGAGGCCTTTGCCCAGCATTGGGACATGTATGGGCTGATACTTTACTATACAATTTTATTTATCTGTGTATAGATGTAAAGGTAAATTTACTTACTAATTATTATTTATATATTACATCAAGTGAAAGGCCCGTCAAAATCGGTCCAGTCGTTTCAGAGATTAGCCGGAATAAAAGACAGGCAGACAGACAACAATTGTAAAAAAAAAAATATTTTGGTATATGTAATTTGTTTCAATGTTTACATGCGAGTTATGTGGTAGAATATCTAAAGCGGAGCGCGTCGAAAATGTAACAGCGTCCTTAACCAAAAACCTATCCCTAAAACGCACGTATTCAGAAGACTACTACGCAGGAAACAAAGGACTTCCACGAGATTAAAATTTTCTCAACTGCAATCTAAATAGCGTGGCGCGTACCCGCGTTAAGCGAAATATTATGTACTGTAGCCGCTATGTGACGGGCCTTGTCAAGCTTTGTTATCGCACCGCATGACACCATACATTAAGGCCAATTAACCCAGAAACCACCTGATCCTCTTAATTTAATATTACCAGCGGTCGCTTTATGACCGGCCCGGGTTGGAGCCGCCTTCGACTAAAGTAAATTAGATTGTTTTGTTACAAGCAACACACAGTCCCTATTCGCTATAAACTTAGTACCAAAGCATCGGAAGTTTTACGATGCGCAGAGCACAAGTATATTTTCAATTTTAAAAGCACATTTATAACGTAGTTATTATCTTTCTTTGTGATATAATAATGTTACTGACTAAAATGAACTATAGGTCTTTTTTTATCGTGTTATAGCTTACCTCAAAATTGACTCGCGTAGAAAAATCCTATTAAATCCGCCTATCTAAAGTGAAATCTTCCCGCTGATTCCATTGTATGTACATGCTCTTACTAAAGGGTTTTCCGTTCGGAAACTTCTCAACTTATGTCGTTATAATATCATCTAACAATATAACTTTGTCTTGTTACGTTTTGGAAACATTGTGGAGTAAGTAAGGAGCGTTTTAATTGATTGGTCTACCAGACATAATGTAGAGGAAAGAATTATAGTTTACAATGGCCTTAATTATATTTTGGGACGCATTTTTACACAACGTTAGTCTAGTCCTAAATATCATCATAAATATATCTAATACATAAAATTCTCATGTCACGGTGTTTATAATTGAACTCCTTCGAAACGGCACGACCGATTTTCGTGAAATTTTGTGTGCATATCAGCCAGGGTGGAGAATCGGACAACATCTATTTTTCATCCCCCTAAAAGTTAAGGGTGGTCCACACCAAACATTTTTTTCTACCCTACAAATAATTTATATGGCAAAAAAAAAACGTTTGCCGGGACAGCTAGTTATAGATATATAAACACCCACACACTAAAAAAATGCTATGTTCATCACACAATATTTTACCAGTAGTGGGAATCGAACCCACACCCTCTGGCGCAAGACACAGGGTCAGTATCAACTACGCCAATCAGGTTTTAAATTCACATTCACATATTATTATGTATTCATTCTACGAAAGCCGACAGCTACTAGTAATGTTGAATCTCATTTGTCACGTTCTATTGTGTATATCTTGAAAGGGAAAACTTACCGTTGCGAGTAGCTTCATCCCTCAAAGTGATAAGCAAATTCAATCACGACTCCAACGTGACTCGTGTCGAATGAATATGTATTTTATATTGGAACGTAGTGACGACCAAATACTCGATCGGCAATCCGGAGCTACTATTGACACAGTACGTGTTACAAAAGCTATCTCTGTGTTAGTGTTTACAGCAAATATAATTGGATTCGAGATTGGTTGGAAAACCTTTAATTGAAATTGTATTTTAAAAAATTCACGATTACGAATAAAATTTATTGCATACCATTATGCACCAAAGATGCATGCATATTCAAGTGTCAGTTTTTGAACTCCGGAATTACTCGTAAGTTACGAAGTCATAACAACCAATCGGTAAAGAATATAAAAGCCAGAGAATCGGCCATATCAAAAGTTTCCAACATCGCTTTTGTTTTAGTCCTAATAAATTTCAATGCATAAGCTATAACCCGATCTTTTAATTATTCCGTTCAGGTATACTAGCTTATACTCGCATCAAAATAAAACAAATTTAACAGAACAAAAAGTACTGTATTTATTTATCCAATGTAAGCTTGGTTCCAGATTTGATTTTAATCTGTTGCATATTGAAAAGGTGGAACAACCTTTCCAATGCCAACGTGAAATACGTTTACAATATCAGTGCGATTTTTAACTATAATTTATATCAGTGGCGTACCGCTGATAGTCAGAACAAGTTCTCCTGTCCCTTTTTACCTTAACTAGATAGTCAGAGACAGCTGATGGTATTACGTATCGCTTAGTTCCCAAATCTTAAACAGTTATTTCTGCAGTTAAGCTATTCGAAAAGCAGATAAGTAACTGTTGCATGCCAAAGTTCGAATCAAAAATATCGTATGCCCGATAAGGTCAATGACTTCTTTATTAGCAGTATTAAAAATATTACCGTGTTCTATAAGGAAATAATAATCGGGAAAACGTATAGTGAGTCTCTTGACAATAGAGTACATGGAGGCCTGTTAGTAGAATAAAGAAATACTTGTCTTGACCCGCCCCATCGAAACTAAAGATTCTTCTAAGAAATTGCTTGACAGCTGCGTCTGCCTTCTATTAAATTATTCTGAAGCATTATTTTCGTGGGATGAAATCAAATTAATTTCTTTTAACCTCTGTTTTAGCCCTGTTATGTCAAGAACTATGTTGGTATTTTCAGTATGTTTTCATAAGAGTTACTAGAATGTAAATGGATATTCACACATACATTCCTTTTTTGAAAACTTCAAATTTTGTTAGATTTAAAATAAATACAAATTAATAATAATAATATTTAAAGCAATACAAATAATCAAATAAACTCCTAGTACTTAACATTCTTACGGGGCCATAGGGACATGGCAGAAAATATCGCTAATAAGTAAGCCGTGAGTCAGGCTTATACCCTCTGTTCTGCTCGACAATAATAAAAATGTATATAAAAACTTAGGGCCGTGATAGCTCAGTGTCCGGGCGCTCGCCTTTAATTCAATTACTCGAGCAACCTGAGTTCGATCCCCGGTGCCGGCACCAATGAAATTGTTAATTTTAAGTGCAGAATTATCACGCACTAGTGGTGGATGAAAAAATCGAGAGAAAACCTGCATATTTTCGAAAAAAATATTCCGAAGATATTTGAAGTCCGACAATCCACAGTGGGGCCGCGTGATGGACCATGATACCTAGGCCTATGCCCAGCCGTGGGACATGTATAGGCTGATACTTTACTTTAATATACTTTATTAAAGTTTTCCAAATACCTTTTAGGTCTGTTCGAAACGGAGGGTGTGAAGATACCAGGGACTGAATGTGACTACCAGTTCAGCAGGTCAGGCAGCCGCCCAGCGCACGGCCGCCTGTACAGTCCCCGCTACCCCTCTATATACCCCAACAACGTGCGGTGTTCATACCATTTCCACGGCAGGTGAGTTATCTACATTGAAACTAGAACATAAATATACCAGCGGACCTGCAGACTTTGTATTTGCACACGACTTAAATCCGACAAGTTACTGGACCTAATTGTGAATCTAAACCATTCTGGAATCTACCTGAAGACACACAAAAAAATTAATTAAAATCTGTCCAGCCCTTTAGGAGGAGTTAATAATAGAAATTAATGTTGTTTATATTGTCAATAAATTAAGCATATAAGACCATTTAAAATTATTAAGCTTTACCCAAAACTTGTTGTCAAAGTGTGGTACAGCCAACTATCGAACCACAAAAACACAATTAGTTTTTTTCTATATGACAATTTCTATCAAAATGAATTAGTGGTCAGAAATGTTAATTATTTATCTAAATCTAAATCTTATTTAAAAATAATAATAAACAATAAACAAAAAACAATTTATATTTATCATCATCATCATCTGCTGGTAGAGATCCACTGATGAACGAAGCCCCCCCCCCCTTAGTTATAATTATCCTTCTTTTATTTAACATGAAAGAAGGTGTAGCATAATGTGACTCTCGTAGATTTTGATTGACCCTCTATATTAATGCTTCCTTTGGTAATATATGCTGTATTATATAAAAAGTCCTTAGCGGACCAGACATACGTTGTCCTGTACACACGTCTTAAATCCGTATGTTTCAAGCTTTTGTGAATAAGCTTTTGAACCTAAACCATTCTTCAATCCACTTGAACACACACAAAAATTTAATCGAAAGCGAACCACCCGTTTAAAATAGTACAGTCACATACACACGTATAGAAGAATTATATAGATGAAGATAAAATAATATTTCGCGAGCAAACAATATTAAGCAAAATTTAATTCCAAATATATTTTATCTCGCTTTTCTTTTCAGGCCAAAAGACCGGGTCAAAATAGTTTTTGAAGAAGTGTCTCTACAAAAAGGCGACGTAAGGTATGTATTAATTGTTTTAATTTAATAATTTTAATCAATTTATGATGTATGAGTACAGAAATCAAATTTAAGATTTAAATTATGCTGACTCAATATATATGAGAAGTAATTGTTATTCTCATGTAAGATAAAAAGAACTATTTCCTAAAATAAGGCTATGGAGTGTATGTTTCTTTTATTTAACTTTTATTCTTTTTGCTTAAATTTTAACGAAATTTATTATTGGTTTACTCTGTTAAATGGACATTTGTTGCATAAAAGACAGGAAATATATTTAAAAAGAATAAAACGTGAAAAACGGACGTTTTAATTTATTGATGCTACTAAATTTAGGATTTAATATGTTAAACTAGAAGTTTGCCTTGCATACATATGTTTATGACAGACACGAGTTTCAAAGTAAACAAAGTATATTGTTTACTTTGAAACAACAAAGGCAAATCCCTTCATAAGTTTAAAATACACTGTACAGAATCAATCGGTTTGATAATGTCGATATGGTCGTGTTAAAATTGCTGGGTTCTCAATTTCATTCTCATATTATTCATTTTGAAAAGTTGCAATGGAAGAAACTTCCACGGGCAATATGCTACGACGGATATCCTCATAAAATCTGTCATAAAAATCGCATCCGGTTTAACAGAGCCACTTTGGAACGATATTCGCTGTAAAATATCAAGTTGTAAATATGTATGTTGTGATGTGCATATATTGAATACAATTCAGCTGTTGCCGTTTGATATTTTAACTTTTAACAATGTTTCAACTGAACTTAATTCTCCTTACCTTGATTTTCATTTAGTTGTGTACCCCAAAAGAACTTCATACGGAATTTTGTCTATACACACACTAATTAAAACTCGTAATAGAAAAGAAACTTTAAAAACTTAATAATATTGTCTAGAAAACTAATATATTTTCAAATTTCAACCGAATTTAATTAATTTTATGTGTTATATTTGAGATGAAGATGATAATACAGTTTTCCATCGGATATTTGTTTCTAAAATTTGTCTTGCCCTAATGTGTGACAAGCTATTCAGGAAATTCTTGTTAGTTTTAATCGGTTCACTCCCAGCGCCATCATTTTCTAAAAATGAATTCCCACAGGAATTAATTAAATTCCTCATATTCAGCGATAAATATTTGCTTTTCAATACATTTAAAAATCAGTAAAGCCCTCTTAACCTATATAAACTGGAGCGTAACGCCCCCTCACTCTTCCTCATTATAAAATCCTGCCTCATTAGGCACAGACGTAGGGACGAGGTACAAATTACTATTACATACATAGTTGTTAAAACGGTAAAGTTACACCCCACGTATTGGTTGTGAATCCCACAGCTGGGAAAAGCAACCTGTTTGGAGAAAGTAACTCCTCTCCCATGTCTAATCCCCCATCCCCCCCTGCCCCCATTGCGAATTGATCGACTTCAAATTCTGTATTCTTTTAGACGACATGCGCGCAAATATCTTTTGTATCCTTTGTTTGTCTTCCTTGCCTATGAAAGCATTCCTACGGAATCTTCATCAATGCCTAGCTTACGAAACGGTGCTTCAAATTGCAATACTTAATTTTGATTCCCGTACCGAGACTCCATCTGAAGTCGCCGATACAATATTAACGATATATTTTTATGATAGGTTATTAGTTCAATTTTTGTAATAGGTTATTAGTTTTTAATAATTTACTTTTAACATAATTCAAAAATTATAGTTGCTCTACTTCTGTAGTGAAAAACATATATAAATATAAAATCGAATTGAAAACCCACTTTTTAGGGTTCCGTACGCAAAGGGTAAAACGGGACCCTATTACAAAGACTCCGCTGTCTGTCTGTCTGTCTGTCTGTCTGTCCGTCTGTTCCCAGGCTGTATCTCATGAACCGTGACTGTGTACTTATACACTTGAAATTTTCACAGATGATGTATTTTTGTTGCCGTTGTAACAACAAATACTTAAACACACCAACACAAACCGCACTCGCCGGTGAGTGCGGCTAACATATACTAGGTTCCGCCACGTACCTGGCAGGTTCTCCCCAGTTCAAGATAGAAGCGTTGCTGGAGTTTCTTCCGCCACTTCTTCTCCCAGCGCCAACGCTTTACGAAGTGGTAGTAACGATAGCTCTAGAGATCCCCCCAGTCAGATAACAGCTACCGATCGAGCCGAGGTCCGGCCCTCTCGGGCACCCTCGAATCGGAATGCTAAACGCGTGTTGAGTGACAGCCCAAGCCGAGGTCCCCTCTCGGGGACCCTTGAGCCTGATCACTCCATGGAGCCCCCGCCAAAGCGCCCTAAGAGCTAGGCGGCCTCCCAAACCGGTGAATTAAATAGCGTGACGGCCCGAGCCGAGGTTCCTTCGGGAGCCCTCGAGCTTAGCCACCATAACGCGTAATAATAAATACGCGAGGTTCAGGCTAGGCGCCTCGGGCGCCCGGCCACCTCAAGTCCGTCGGATCTGTAAAGGCCCCTAAGGCCAACAGTGGCTCATCAAGCCCAAAAAAAAAAAAAAAGAGAAAAAAAAAATTACTAAAAAACTGAATAAAAAATATTTAAGTGGGCCCCCATACAACAGACATAATGTTTTTTGCCGTTTTTATAGATAATGTTAAGGAAACCTTCGTGCGCGAGTTCGACTCGCATTTGGCGGGATTCGAGGTCGGTTGAAAATCCTTTGTTATTTAACATTGTTTATCTATCAACAGATTGTTAATACGGATGCGGAACAATTTCAATTACTGTTAATCAGGAAAATGTGGACAGCAAGCCCTGCAAAACGACAAAAAATCCCATATGTAGAACTTCGGTACAGATGACACTATCTTCAACACCTTTTAGTTATTCAGATTGTTTAAAAAACTTGTGATGTGACTTACATTAGCTAATATCGGGTAAATTAACATTAACTGTTCTTCTCAGTTAAATCTAAAACGACGATGAAATTAGCAATCCCACGTCGACGGTGCAGCCGGCATCGAGTGAATTATAAATGTAACATGCGCCTGACCGCTTCCGTTAATGAGGCCAAGCTATAAACCATATCTACTCGTTTAATTAACCGAATAATGCAACGGTCGCTTGGAGCCATTTGAATTCGTCGAATTTCAATTCTATTCGTTCTTAACATAGAACTTTGATTTAACAGTAGACCGAGGTTAATACGGAGCTGAAGTCTTCAAAGACGTTGTCACGGACGCCCAATTATAATTTCAAGTTAAACTAATGCCTTTTTAATGTTTGTACGTTATGTTTCCGTATTGTTATAGTATATTTATACCTATAAAGAGACAAAAGATAAACACTCCCCACTACACTAAAGAAATGAGATTCTAAATCAAGATACTTAAGTGTTTCTATTTTTCAAAGTTCTTAAGAGCTCATCATTTCAAATTCTAAATTTATCCTTGAGTGCATCATATAATCATAATACTTCATTTCGTCTGCATAACGTTAACGAAAGATCATTTGTACAAAAGTTTCTGTACATTTTCTGTTTCGGCTGCCAGAATTTGAGAGCTTTGCTCCAATTACAACATTATCATACTTGTTAAACAAAGATCCCGCCAACAATAAACTTTGTTATAACACGAACATAATTTAAAGCAACACTAACGTGCGTTCCCTTAAGTTTAATTACAGTACAAGATGAAAGCATAATACAAGTCCCCGAATAGTTTTACACCGGAGTAATATGAAAGGTACAAAGCACAATAGTATTAAAATTATAAAATTGGAATAAGTATTAAAATGTATTGAAAAGAAAATAAAGTCATGAATATTATAAATAATATTCTAATTTATTTACATAACTCGCGTTAATCGAAAATAATAGTGATTCGAATCCCTAAGATATTATCTATGTATATTTATTTTCGCATTTATATTTATATACAGTTTTAAAGCCACGCAATAGCTTCTTTAGTTGCATGAATGCATGAATGAGACCGCTCTGGAGGTGAAATACCACGGCACAGCATAATAGAATCAACTGAAAGCATTTATAATTTTGCCTGTGCGTTAGGACTAAATTCGTAGATATAATCTATATATAAGCTGGCCACATCTGTCGTAGAATGGATGAGCGTTAGAGCTAGCGGTTTCTCGAATGAAGACCACGTCTCGAAAAACGTGGGTGTGGGACGTCCCACTGGCAGGTGGACCGATGACCTGATAAAGGTCACTGGTAGTGGCTGGACGAGGAAAGCGAAAGATCGTGCACTGTGGCGTGCCGTTGGGAAAGACTTTGTCCAGCAGTGATCTGCAATAGGCTGATTGATTGGTAGGTAACAGAAGGTGGAATTGGCAAAACACAATCCCGTGTCATCAAGGGAACCTTGCTCTCTTTCAAACTTCTTCTCTGTCTCAAACTCTCTGGGATTGTTACAATTCATTAAAATTAAATCTGTTGAATTACTGAAAGCCCTATAAGCTACTCATGAAATCAATACGAACATTTGTAAAGTTTTTAATTAGCATCAATAATTGTAGCGATCGCGGTATCGGCTGTGAGGTCTTCGTCCTTTATCGCGGGCTAATAGGAGCCAAATCCGGATTATCCTCTAAGGGCTGAAACTCCAAACTGAGCGCGTTTCCATCGGAATTTATCGGGCAAACGGCATCGAAGTATTAAAAGTTAGTTACGCGACGGTGTCAGCGGAGAACCCCGAAGTTTGCCATTCAGGGGGTCGAGACATAAGCACACGGCAATTCACGTTAGGAGTCCAGTTAATAGAGACATGTTGGTGAATATCCGCCGAGTTTACTGTTAAAGTGCGGGTGTAACGTTATTGTTGCGTAGACGAAATTAATTAAGACAAACATCCCTGGACCCTTGTGTGTGACACGTTGTTTGTGGACCTTAGGGACCGCGATATATAATAACTACAATGGAACCACGAGAACGATATGCCTTAGTTATAATCTTTATAATCTATCTTATTACCGGGAGAACTATTTGTGCAACACACAGATTGTTTCGGATCCGGCTGTTTGTACTCCTTAAATTTATGTTTGTAGAACGTCCTTACAACACGGGATAATGTTATCTTACAACATGCTTTAAAAAAAGAAGAGGGCGAATATCTGAAGAAAAACGTCCATAGTTCGCTTTCATGTTTAGAACATAATATTATATTCACACTAATGATTCATACCTATTCTACATATCTATCGTTGACCTTGACTTATATAAAATGATAAGCCATGATGAAGCCATATTTGTCTTCCGTTGGTTAATACTAATGGTATCGTGTTATGTTAACTAAGATAAAGCTGAAAGATTTATATTTGTACGACTGGCTAGTATTTGGCTATCATCCCATCCATCACATATCACAATAAGTGACGAAAAATATAATAATGAATACAAAGACTAAAGAGGGCATAGGACCGCCAATTATGTTTGTTCATAGATGGAAAGGGAATTTAATTTATGTAACTTCATGTCACCACACTCGTTAGAACCCTGTAGACCGTGAAGAGTGATGTAAAAACATAAATAGGATAGATATGCAAGTTTGACAATTATTTTCTAAAGCCGTAATAGCCTTCGAAACTCTTTAATTGCTCTACTCTGGAATAATTCAAACTTCATGCATACCAAATATATTCAAAAGCGCAACACAGAAAATGAAATAATATACTTATGGAAATTCACGAGTTGCAAACAGATTTCGCAAAAAAAAGAAACAATGTTTGCGAACAAACCGAATTTACATTCGCACAATAGCGCGATGAAATGCAAATTACTGTTCAAAATGCTATTTCACCGTCAACTATAAAAAAAACTGCAAATAAACGGCCGCAGATTGCATTGCTACTCTTGACAGATTCGCAAAAACGTCAACACGGGTATGTAGTACGTAATTTTTTTCATCTGTATCAGATTATGTTTTAGCTTTTGGTTTTATGAACCTTTATTATCTCATACGATCCACAGAAAATAACATGTCCGGGCACTCGACTGTAAACACAACATACTCCAACAACCTACAATCCCGGTGTCAAAATCAATGAAATTGTTCATTTTAAGTGCTGGCTGATAAGTCAGTCACGCGATAACGTGCTCAGCATTGAAGGAAAAGGTCGTATGTAAAGTCCACCAATCCACAGTGGGCTGGTGGAATATATCCTAACCCTTTGTACAGATGAGGCCTGTTACTTTAAATAAAGTTTCAAATTAGGCATCTTCTAATTCTCATCGACTTGACTTGATATCTTATTTATATATTTGATCTATTATCACGACAAAGGATTTTTCAAACTTCCTAAGTTCACAAAGATGTGCCGTTGTTCATAGTTGGTTTCAATATGAACGTAAAACCTGTTCACAAATTTCCACTTATCTACGGATCCGGTGAGAACTCTTCGATCTGAAATTCATATAATTTATACAAAGGCACGAAGTGTACGTTAACTAGTATTGTGTGTTGTTTGCTCGCAAATACACGTTGCGCCCGTCGAACGGTAATTAGTGTTTGTCCCGCTTCGGATTTTGCATTAAATTTCGTTAAATTTCAGCTAAACGCCCTGATTGATATACGAGCCGGCGCTGGCGATTATACTGCGACCGCGCAACCGCGTATCCGACGAACGCCGGTTGCTAGCTTATTCGGTGGCAACTATTCAATTCGCTGTCATATTATTTATTGAAACTCGACTGCAATTAGTTATATTGTGACATCTTGCAGACCTACCGCAGTACTCAGCTGTGAACGCCTGACCGCTCGCCACCCCAGAACCACATACTTTTAATTTATGGGAACCAATGTTTAGACTGACAGACAGACTAACGTAATATTTTATAATATATATGAACAAAGCACTCTTCCACTCAGTCTTCTACAGGATATTTAGGAGAGTGTGCTGAGGTTTTACAAATAATTCCTCCTTAACTTTTCCTTCATTACATAAGAAGATGCACAGCGGCCTGTGTATATTATTGTAAACATTTCATGCACTCAAGTCAAGCCGTTTGTTTTGTTATTATGCGGCAGCAAAACTTTTCTAACTTTTGGCCCAAATATAAGGTGGGTGCATTCAACGTAAGAGTAAATGGGATTATACTGAGTTGGCGCATTTATCCCATTGGCACTAGCTATGGTAACTGTTGATCCAACCGTATATGATACAATTTGCGTATGTTAAATATCAAAAATTAACGGTTAAAAAGCTATGCCCAATCGCTTAAAAAAGTTAGCGAAAGAGCAAACGATGATATAAGACAGATTTTTTATCACATTATATATTTTACTCGTTAAAATTAAACAACACACTCCGAACTCGAAATTATGTGTTCCGATTTCCCTTTCATCAGAAATACTCTCTGTGATCTGTCATATATCAAAATACTATTTAATATAAAGGAAGCAGGCATAATTATCATAATTGCGACAAATGAATTTTGTTATGAAGATGAAGAGTTCAATATACAACAATTCGTTCAACAGCTAACTTTAATTATAAGACAAGTATTTGAGCATCTCGTCTCACCTCAGTGATTTCATTGAAATATGTCTCTTATTTAAAATCGCCACACCTCCGTCATATTGATTTGCCTGAGCTATAACCTAGTTAATTCGGTATCGTGATTTCAGTTGCCTCCGGCGGGCGGACATCATCAAAGTCTTTGATGGCAGGGACTCAAATGCACCCGCTATAGCTATGCTGTGTAACGAACTTGCAGGTAAGCGTTTTTTCAATTTATTTGCAACTAGCTAACGACCCCGACTTCATTCCTTAGATTTAATAATCACGAATACGAGCTCTTAAACTCTATAATTTTTATTGAAATCTGTTGAGCCGTTTCCGGCCTTATATAAGACAAACTTTGTGATAGATGACGGCTGAAGTTTCTAAATTTGCAGGTCGGCATCGTACGATGAATCACATTGTTCTATAGTGATTACATAAAGATAAAATAAAAAAGTATGTATAAGTAGTAATAAAGATAAAAAAGTCATGAGTCAAGCTATAAAATCATCAAAACTATTCGTTTATACTATTTATACTGTGTGTTTATACTGTTACTGAATTGATACCATACAGTAATGAATTGACACCATAGCAGATAAGAAGCTAAACCAAAATATTTCTACTCCAGATTGCAATTGAAAAGATAAAATATTAATTGATAATAAAGTAAAACAGAATAAATGAATAAATATTTCTGGACATATTTGCACACAAAGTTATCTAGTCGCAATAAAGCAAAGTTTGTCATCAGACAATATTTTTCCAGTAGTGGGGATAAAACCCACACCCTCTGACGCAAGAGACAGCTGAACTACCTACTACTCTAGTCTGATTGAAAAATCCATCGAATTCAAGAATAACCTGATACATCTCTGGTGTTGAGAGTGAACCCATGAACTCCTTGTTGCGTTGATAAACATTTAAAAATTGGAAAGTTCTTGTAGCCAATTGATTGGTTTCAAAGACTTTTCAATCTGGTTTAAAAGTAACTAAGAAAACGTGATCTATTTCAAAATATTACAATAAGATAAAATATAGATTAACCTCACGCCGATAACAATATCCTTGGAACATGAAATTAAATTATAACTTAAAGACATTAATTATTCGAGCAGAGCATAAACTTTAAGGTCATGGAATAAATGTACCGAGTAAAGAAAAAGATAAGCTCATGAGTGCTCCCACACGAGACAAATCATAGGGAAAATAGATACAAGAAGGCAGCGAACGTGGGCGTATAATATCTCATCGTGACGTGTATTAAGTACCCCTCCGCCTGTTGTTACGGAGATTCCCCAGAGAAAAATAGTAGTCCGAACAAGGAATACTACTATATATTGAGATATTTTGTGAAGCATTCACGGACAGGTGCTGGATAAAGATACTATGTATGTATGGTGATCGAAAGTTAGGTAGGAATATGGAAGCTGGTTGGACGTGGGTCACACTAAAAGGACTTAGAAAACCTTAAAACGGTTTAAAGTAAAGAGTTGCCAATACTTTTATTGTTGTTCGAAGTAGTCCATCTCTGTTCCTCTCTATACATCTTCGCATTCGATGGACCACCACTGAGAAAAGCAGTGGGCCCATTCTATCTTAGAAGTCTCTTCTACGGCATCGTCTCTCATCTCTCATAGAGTATCGAAAGCACTCGTAAAGCGAATACCTTAGTATTACTCACCACATATAAGTCACAGCCTTTCAAATGAAACGTATCATTTGGCCCAATGCAATATTATTATATTCCTCAAGACACAAGCGCATCTGTTCCACGCAAAAAATATTCTGTTCGCATTGAGGCACTCACAATTTACTAAGATAAGATGACATATTGAAAAGAAGATAGTTTTCCAAATATCCATTCATGAAAATGCCTTCATCATTGGGATTAAAGGTTTATTCAAAAACCTAAAAACTTTTAGCGTTTCATTGAAACCCAATCGAAGTAACAGCGTCTGCGGTGTACTGTCTTCAACAAAATTTGTACTCTGTAGTTATGTTTGTTCCGTTCGTAATTGTTATGTTTTACTTCATAAAAATTTACACACATTTACCAAAACCTTTCCATCGTATGACGACGCTCGCGACGTATTAGAATGTACAGCTTCGTTTCATCGTTGGTAATGTGTGCAGTTAATCCCATAATAGTATCAGCCCCTTCCCCCCTTACCCCTTGTAAATGAAATTATGCTCAACTTTCCATTTGCCACCTTTGCATGTTAATGGTAACAGCTTGTAATACACGTGCTTCTTTTTTTAAATATTTATTTATTCAACTTACTTGTATTTTTAAAATAAACACGGCATGACGCAGATTCGCGTTTTCGAATGAGTTTAGGTATTGGTATTTTTTTTAGAATTCTTGTTGTTTCTTTCATAAATGGAAAAGTCTAATCTATATAAATGAATTTCTGACATTTGTACAAATATTCGCCGACCGATTCGCTAACTACCCTTTTTTGGACTTAATAAGTTTGTTAAAACGTGGAGAGTGTTACTTACCCTTATTTTTTGCGGAGTCCTAAGAAGGAAAGCTTGTTTCATCGTAAAACATGATGAAAGGAATGCGTCTGAGTTTTTCTTTAAAACAAAATGACTTTGATATTTTTTTACGTTACTATCGGTCGCGAATTGCATTAAAAAATACAAATGCAGGTGTAATTTAGCGAATTGTCGTCGCGATTGCACAACTTACTCCCGCGCTCGAGCAATTCATCACGCAAGTTAGTTTTGCTCTAAGAATCTTTGCAACTAGTGCCTTAGGGAGAACATTTCTTGCAAGTTTTCAGATTGGAACGCTCCGGTGCTGTACAACTATAAATCGTGTCCGATAAATTTCTGCCAAATTAAATTAATGAAGTACAGAGAAAAGCGTCAAAAATATTACGCCTGGTAAAACTTCAAAAGAATTATGATGAAAATTAGTCAATAGTATAGTAAAATTTGAATTTTTGTTTATTAAGTTATCTAAACAAATTCACATTGCACAAGCACTAGCGTTAAAATGAAATTAATCACATAGGTAAACTAGTTATGCGTTCGTTTTTAATTTTAAATTGAAAATTCTGTTCTTAACTTACTTAAGGCTGCTGTTAATTGTTATATATAGATAATACGAAATTAACAAATTTGACTTAACGTTTATTAATAATTAGTGGCTAGGATTATATCAGACTATGTTTATCGGACAACACAAATGAAACAATTAATAATTACGGTTTAACTTAAAATTGAGTAAATTTGAAATTAACGATTTAATAAATCTTCCCATTGTTACGGTACAGTGAGAACAAAGTGCCCCCTAGACACTATCTCAGCGTCATTGTTCGCTTAACGTTATAGTCTTCTTTTAGCAAGTCTTATTTTTGGACGTGGAATGGATTTCAATAGTATTCAAAGTAAATATAGCAGAATATTGATTACCTAATTTTGTTCACCTTTTTATCCCATAATTCCGTGCTAAAAACTTTTAAATATTACTACAGTACTAAAAACTATTGTTTAAAATACACAAATGACATGTTTAATTTCGTTACTAAAAAAAAATTGCAGTTACAACTCTTTGTATTGTCAGATTTTTTTCAAGGTTTCTAGGAACTTATATATTTTCATCTTCGAAAATTAAACCTCGATTATAAGAAATCAATAAGCATACTGGCATAATTTTGAAGAGCAAATAATTAGATACTTTTTAATATTAGATACCCCGAACAAAATTATTATTGACATTATACCAAGGAAGGTAGGGTTTCAAAGGAATTGTGCCTGGATGGGCCAAACAATAAATTGCCTCACTCAATAAAAAGTCAAACATATCATACATTTAAAAAGAGTCTGAGCCAATGGCTTCTAGAACCCACATTAAAATTATATTCGGTTAAGGATTTTTTAAACTACAAAGAGAAGTAATCAGGATTGTTATTGACATTGATATACTTATTTTGAATTTAATATATTATTACTTAGATATTGACTGTCTGTGACTTTGATAATATTTGCATCCTACTTGTACACAGTTAAATACACAGTTAAATACCCAGTTCAATCGAAAATAAAGATTATTATTAATTTATTAAAAGATTCGAACTTCGTTACATCGCGTTTTTTTTTTTTTCAAATTAAGGAGAGAGTAAAATTTGAATTAGGTCAGACCACTACACTTTACTAAAGTAGGAAAACCGGAAATATTTTTGAAGGAATATTGCAGTGTCTGCTGGAAATAATATTACCCTGAAAAAGAGCGAGCCACTATTCCATTTGCTTGTTACGAACTTTATCTTACTATGCTTTCTTTAAGTAGGTGACTTTGTGAATAAGTGGCATTATGGTCTTAATCTAGATAGAGTAATAAGATGTCGACAATAGTAAAGTTTTGTTATTTCTATGAGTATTCTTTTAAAAGCGTGCGTTCAATTATATTTCACAGATTTCAATTAACAAATTCTGAGGCTTTACATTGCTCGAAACGCACAATTGAACATGTCAGGCTCATTATGTATTGATGATTTATTGATGTGAATGAAGTGCTTCATAGTGATTTCAGAATTATCCATTGTTCGTAAAGAGCGACGGTGTATCGATCGTGACTTAATGCCCTCAAACGCGATATGCTCGAAATTCAACGTTACTGAAGCATCGAGGCACATTATAGTGATGTACAAAATTAAAATAATCATTTTAAGAATCGTTTAGTAGTTGAACCCGGCGACGCTTGGCTGTGGCTTTTGTGTTTCGTTCGCGTTGGAACTTCGGAAAAAAAGTATTTAAAAACTCTTCTGTTCAATAGATATGTTGTGAAAAAATACGAGTATCAAGTCAATCCAGCGTCGACTTGTTTTTGAGTTTTGGGGGCACAAACATATGAAATACTCACTATACTCACTATATTCGTCGGTTATAAATAAACATGTTTTATTAAAATTCATCAATTTGCAAATCACACTAATTTATATCAATCTAGAGAAATACGAGTATCGGCAATAAACGCCAACAGTGAATATTAGTAGCAAATAAGCAATAGTCAGCTGATGCCAACGGCAAGCACAGAGCAAGTTTCATATCGACAAATTTTGGTCTTCATGTGTGGAAACATGAAAACAAAACAATGAACAAGAACAAATTCTTTTATGGGTAAAACAGAACATTCCTTCAGCAGTCGGTTAAAAACTCTTTGAAAATGCGCAAAAGAACACATAGCTGACAACATGAACCTCTAACTATATTTACTATTTCCTTTTTGAATATTTGAACCTCTCCTTGTTATATCAACCAGTTAATATTCAAGTTTATTTAGTTTCATTACAAGTAGTCAATAAAATTTTGTACCACTATTTTAAAAACACTTTAGTCTGCCGTTACCATGATGATACATTTAAGAAATTTGCAAATTTGCTCATAAACATCCGATCCTCTTTAAAACTAATTTCGAAATCAACAATAGAAATCCTTTAACAAATTAGACATGCCTCACCATCGTACCACATAGAAATTGGTAAAGAAATAAAAAAATTCAAATGAAAGTTGTTTAAGCGGAGTTTGTTTAATTTTCTTATAAATGAATTGCTATTATTCCACAAGTGTTTCAATATATATATGACAATTTTGTATAAAAGTTTCCTAAAAGATGTTTTCATTGCATATCTAAATATAAAATGTAATATTTGTACACCAGAAATGGTAAAATATAAGCGACGTTACAAGTTTTAAGACCTATTATGACCTATACCATGTTTTAACAAATAAATGTATATTTTTTCTGTTTTTCTTTAAAAAGACTAAATGCTAATTAATCCCACCACGATATTTGAGACTGGATGTCTAATAAAGAATATTTATATCTTGTGGAATATTTTTTTGCCTTAGCACTTATTAAACATTCCGCAGTTGAAAACTAGTAAAATTTCGGTTATTCATATTTCAGTTCGCTAATATTTTTCGCAAGTAACCTATTTACCAAGTCTAGTAGGCAACTCAGACGGTAATGATATAAAATCTCATGTTCGCTATTCAACAACTGCCCGGTGAGGTTAGATATAATTATATTTCAGACGTTTTAAGTGAATTGTTTTATTCCTTTTTAACCGATAAAAACTCTGGTACGTGTCGGGCATTCGTATGTTTGTTTCAACGTTCAACTTTTTGCCATTGACGGATGTCGCGTCGCTCAAATTAGGGTTCCATTTCTAGATCATCTGTATCGCTCCCCGCCAGCTGGGGCGCTGAAAAGCTCCGTAATCGTACCAAAGGAATAAATAATCCTCCGTACGCTGTTCGAACGCTATGACTTCGTACTATAGTTTAGTTTACGGTCCGCCATTTGCAGAAATGCCTTTGTCGGCGTTTTGCTAGGAGGAGCTTACTGAGCTAAGTCAGGTGAACGGATAACGATCGTAGCCATTAAGGTCTTTGTGGTTCAGGAGCCCGGTTTGAGAAAAATTTCCATTTGAAGCCTCGCCATTAACATGTTACATTAAATACTCTCGTAAATATATTATAGATATAGACCTCACGCAGTTATATTAGAAAAAATTACAACCTTCGTAACACATTTAGCACCATCCAATATACAAATATCGTTCGATAGTCATCTTAAATAAGAAGACTCCTGGATACCAATTTTCAAATTTATAATAATATTCTAAATTAAAATACCTAATTTGTAAAGCCTTGTAATGTATCAAAATATTTATGTTTTTACGTGGAGTAGAAACAATCACGCTCCTCAATTCAAAGAGGAAGTTTGAAAGATAGATACAGATTATGGAAGCCGAACCTGCAAACTCAAGTTGCACATGTGTTGTATACCAGGGTAAAGGACATAGGTGTAACGCAATAGACTTTTACTGTTTCCACTGTAGACAACTTTCGAGAATAAAGTGAAAACAATGACGTTTATGGTACGTAATGCTTGCTTAGTAAAGCGGTGGATTCCAATTACCTTACTTCAGTACGCCAATCTTATACTAACTGTAAATAGGTTTCGATGCTCATAAACGCTTTTTCTTTCACTGTGAGTGCGACGTTCAAAACGTCTATCTATTACAGATTTAGGTAATCATATACATACATGGATAGTAGTTGTGTCTGTTCACGTCACTGCCAGAAAAAGACCTCAGTCTATTTCCTAGACTAAATATAATGCATTGGCCTTTAACTGTTTCCGCTGTAGTCAACATTCAAGAATAAAGGGAAAACAATGACATTTTGAAGAAGATATTATAGAATATTTTTCCTTAAAGATTTATTAAATACCACAACGTCTTTGCAACCCTTATATCAGTGCAAATATTCATAAGAAACAGTCACATTTTATTATAATACACATATGGATTAATTTGTAATCCGTCATAATCATCTTTATTTTCTCCGAAGTCTTATAGCAGATGAAATGTAAAAGCTTTTTTCATACACACTTACAAGTATTACAACCTCATAAAAATATAGCGAGGTATGGAAATGCATATAAAAATATACCTGAAATAAATGCTAGTTAATGGGACTGGAGCTTGAATGTTTACTATAAATAAATAAATATTTTCAGGACACATTTTTATATCACCTTTCTCACTAACCAACACTCGTACTATAGTGTTGGTTAGTGAGAAAGGGTACTAGATAACTGATAAACATACTAAATTTTCTTTTGTAAATAAATACATATTATACATATATAAACACCCAGACACTGGATAAACACTATGTTCTTCACACAATATTTTTCCACTATTGGGGTCGAACCCACAACACCCTCTGACGTGGGAGACAGGTACACCGCCCACTACGCCATTCGGGTCGGCATTCGTTATTTATCATTCGATTTCGATTTCGATTTCAGGTTATGAGGTGCTATCCACTGGGCCATCGCTCCTTCTGCAATTCACGGCCAACTCTGCGAGCCCAGGCCAAGGATTTGCGGCCACCTTCCACTTCCAGCCGCCCCCAGACTCTACAGCGGCAGGTATACTAAATTTGTAATCGATTTCGAAAATCGATAAATCCATCATTATATTTTACACGCTGGCAGTGGTTACATAGGTACTACGTATTTCCTTACTATAGTGAATAAAATAACGGTTTTTATCATAATAAATATTGACAATTGATTATTAATTTGTGAGTAATTATAATTTTAGTTCCTCATCTCTATCGTTTTGTTTATGTATAAGATTGAAAATATAAACTGTCGATAATCCATAACTTACAATAGAATTACCAAAATGATTTATATTAGTCAAAAATTTCTGTAGTCGTTATAAAGCTGTAAACACACATAAGCACATCCAAATAATGATTTTATATTTCATCAAATAATGATTTTGAAATGCCCCAACAAAATTAAGACAATAATATATTTTTGTAAAACCACAACCAATTAGGCTTAATTTTCCACTCTGCTCAGAAGATCCCAACTTATGAATAGGAATTTTGGCCATGCTCCAGACTTTCGATTGTGCTTACTAAGCAGCACTCCTCTTAATACCTAACAACTACACGAAACTTAAACTAGTTTACACAAACTGCGTCTAACATGTACTTACATTTCAAACTTATTTGTATTCATAGCAATTAACACCTGTATGTTCCTTTACTTTTGAAGGCAAAAACTTTTTTCAATATGTATGTATATAAATTAATTCTGGGTTTCCGGGAATGGGTGCTATAATTGTTTAAACCCAAAATTGGTCAATGGATATTTTTAATATGTAATGTAAAACGTCATCCACGCCATCTATAATAACGTACATAAACTACGAAGAGTAGAGAGAGACAGCTCGAGTACCCCTCGCTTAAGTATTTACATGTGTACGTATAGATGGCGTTTTAACAAATTGTCGATAGTCGAATTCGCCATCTACTGGAATAAGTCAGGATTATGACTGCTCATTATTTCGGCCCTTTACTGCTTTCTTGTATTTCAAGACTTTTTTTTGAGAATTTTTTCTACTAGTGTAACATTAATATGAAAACACGGTATTAATATTTATTATTTTTCTCACAGATTCGGATCGCCTATTAAAGCTCAGCTTTGGGAAAGCTTTCGAGTCCCTAGGACCAGAAGTTAGTGCCACAAGTAAGTGAAATTACACTTTTTTACTCCTGAATATAAGGAAGAGATCAATACAACCTTTTTCTCTTATAGTTTTAAATTTATACACATTAAACAATATCAGTCTTCTAATGAACTTTATCTGGAATTATGAAATCCTTTTTATACTTTTACATTTGTCATTTTTATTTTAACATTGTGTATGGTACAAAAAACCTGATGACACATTTCATCATGTTTAATACGGTCATTGTTTCATAAAGATTTCATAAGGTCTGGACATTTTTATAATGCCTTATATCTAATAATATTTGATAAGTACTTAAAACTTTGCATACTACTAAAAGATACAATTTCTCAAAATCCAAGTATTATTTGTAATGATACTAAATATTTTATTTATTTTATTAAGGGAAACTGTATTTTCGTTAATACCATTACCACAACGATAGCTTATTACAATAAAGGATCATTAAAACGAAAATATATTCAGAGATGACCAATGACATACTATTCAATGAATAACGTAGTCATTATAGATAATTCACAATTCATGACAATTTTGATGCAAACATATCATAATAATTATCGCAAATGACTAAGTTATAATGATATAACATTTTGCTTCATCAATAAAAGTCGATAAAAACTATTGTCATTTATCTCTTTGTATCTTGTTTATCAGTGTATTTGAATAAATAATTTTCATTTAATCTAATTGCCGATAGATTTTTATTTAAAATTGTGTTTGAGTCATTAAATTTGATGATGAATCATGGAATTACGGCGTTTCGACGAAAAACACATTTGCGAAATAATATATGGAGATTACTCATTAAATCCTAGCTTAAAGGTTGAGATTTCTGATACAATTAAAGAATACAAGCTATCACGATTCTTACCTTAACAGTTTGGACATAGTTATTTCGTACTCGAAAATTTTACTGGAAGTAATATGTTCTGAAACATCGTATAGGGGTGGACATCGCTTTTGCCCTTTAACGCCATTTACTAATGAGAGACAATTATTTCTGTACGTTTGAAGTCCTAGAACGGATAACTCACCGAGGTGCTCGAATTCGATTCCCCGTCTTCAGATTATGAGACATGGTACCAAAAAGCCTTCTACAATGCCTGCCATATTTTAACTTCGGTACGTTTATTGTTTAATTTATGCTTCGATCAATTATTATCTAACGTAAAAAAGGCAAATCGTTTTTTTATTCCATTCCTTCTGACCATGAGAGAGGTGTGGACAACAATTTAACCATATCACCAACATCTTTTATACAACGCAATCCATCGTTCCAACTATCATATCGTCAATAGTGAACAGCGAAATTTTCAAAGCTTTGCAAATGCAAAGTGACACATAAAATGCATTAAAGTGTTTTAAAGGAGGACACCGACCAACGCTCTGTACCTTGCTTCGGGTAAAGAAACCGGTAGATAATAAAAGACTTTCAATGCGTTTTTGTTTATCCAGAAGTGATTACAATTGTTTTAAACGTCGGTTCAGATGATGTTTTTAGTGAATACCACCGCTCATGGGTTGCAAATGCGTTGCCGTTGATATAAATACTAAATTAACAGCCTATACATGTCCCACTGCTGGGCAAAGGCCTCCTTTATACAGAGGGTATCAGGGCATAGTCCACCACGCGGCCCCACTGCGGATTGGCGGACTTCACATATATTCGAAATATATATATTTTTTTGTTATTATTTCGAAAATATTCAGGTTTCCTCACGATGTTTTCCTTCACCGCGGAGCACGTGATAAGTCAGCACTTAAAGTTAAAAAACTTCATTGGTGCCGGCACCGGGGATCGAACTCAGGTTGCTCGAGTATATTGAATTAAGGCGAGCGCGAGCGCCCGGACACTGAGCTATCACGGCTCTCTAGCTTAATAAATACTAGCAATAAATTAATTCTACTCACAACTAGACTGCTTAGAATAAGTTATTGTTTTATTGGACAATGTATACGTTTTTACACCAAAATCCCGGAAAAACTAAGCTAAAATTCAAAACAAATGTAAAGGGAGATTTTGTGTTATAGGTAAACATTATTGATTATTTAAATTTTAACACACTCTGGAAATTAGTCGATCGCTCCAGGCTCTTTCCAGGGGGCTTTACTATATTTAAACATATCTGCAGTCTACAAAAATCCGGTTAAGCGAACTCGTACGCCGAGGGTACCGTACCTACCTATTATACCGCCATAAAAAAATGCTGATTAATGACCACCGATTTTCACAGTGTAACTGTAGCCCCCCTTTATGCATATATATAATTAAACTTATATATATTTTTGCCCCGTTATATGAATAAATCATATAACATCATTACGTGACCAGGATAAATTATTGATCTTTCTATAGGATCTTTGTAAAGGTAATAATTAGCCGTATAAATATTATGTGATCGTCATATTCGGTAGGACCTCATTTACGTTGTGTTTATTTAGTAACTTGATTCTTTTAGGTGTATCTTGGATAGATAAATATTCACTAGTTGTGGTATAAGCCAGAGATAATGCCAGATTGCTTTCTTATTAACTAATCCCGACTCGCTTGAGACGGGCTCAGAGTATATAGTATACTCCCTCTCACGCTTGTAAAGGGCTCACAATATAATTTTAAACTAATATCCCTTCTCTCTTGAAAAGGGCTCACACCAATTTTACATACCCGATACAAGTCAACAGCTCCCCCACATTTTAAAAAAAAATGTAGGGAAGGCACACGGCTCCATGAAAACACTCACCAACGCCGTGTGCGGTGAGCGCCAACCAACATATTGCGCCCCCCCCCCAGAAGAGGGACAAAAAGTTGGGGAAAAGCACATTTCGTCGCAGAGCGCGTTATGAGTCACTGCTCACCCCAAGGGTATGGTTAAAACGTTGCACGGCATCGCCGCAGCCTTGAAAGGTTTTCTCCCGCCAGCTACCATCCACATGAGGTAAACGCATATGCTCCACCAACCATTGAAATAGTCAGATATAGCCATAGTTGTGATTTTTATGTTTAGCCATCAGAAGGGTTTATAATTGGCAACATATATTTATTTGTCAGTGTCTCTGACGTTGAGTATAGTGTATTTTCGATCAAGTTTGTCTCACCCACCAGCAAGTTGCCATTATTCGTTCGAACGGTGGGAACTTTACTGAGATTCGTTAATCATGTTAAAACGTATAAGAGAGGTCAGACAGTCTGCAGTTCCGTCATCAGGAACCCGACTTGGACAAATCTACTGAGATGTGCATCAAACCGAGACGCAGACTCGGCCATTATGAATAGCGTCGTCTCCCAAGCAAATGTCGCAAGACGCAATGTCACCAAATGCAACATGCATCAATACAACTATCGCAGGTCAACACGCCAACATACAGCCTATCCGCATACACAGCAGACATCATCACCTCGAACCTCCGTCAACCAGAATCATACGATGCAATGATATTGGGCGCAGATCACCCCGCAACTACCACAAGACGCATTACTGCATATAGCCGCACGCATCAATGTGACTATCGCGTAGGTGGCACACCCTCACACCACACCAATATAACTCCAATCAACTTCGGCTCCAAAGTTTAGAATATACTCGGAACACACGAAGTGTCCAAACATGCTCTATCACGATCCGAATGATAGTCGACGTATCATAGCGTAAACACTAAGACGCCAACCACCACCAAACTCTTACTATGCCGAATGACAGCTAACGTATCATAGTGATGGTCACTAAGACGCCAACTACCACCAGCTATCGATGATATGTCCACCACTGAAGACATATCCATTCATGGTTCCACGTTTACCGTAGACCATATCGTCGTACAGAAGTACCACGCAACTCCATAGTAATATGTCTTATAAAGTCCCAAGACATTCATTGCTCTTCATTATATTTATATATTTATTATTTTTTCTCTGAGCCTTCACATATTATTACTTTTATCCATTAGACCTTACTTCCATATGATATTGGTATGGGACGTTCATACAATGTACTTTGACTATAGTACTAAGAGTCGCGATCGACCTCTGTACTTACATATGTGCGGTCATACAAATGTGTCCCCGCACGGTACATATTACTTCCCTTAGAAATCACTAAGTATGGAATTGTATTTAATGGACATAATAGTGATCGTATCTTGCTATATTTTTAATAAATATCCTTTTTTGAGTATTTTAAGTGATTTTTAACTATTTTTAATAAATTTTTGGTAATATCATTTTCTCATACTAACACTTATATTTCTTTAATTTAAGTATATATTATTAACTTTTATTGTGATTAAACGTTCTTAAACGTTTTTTTTTTCATCTTAATTGATCTTTATTATGACTAATTAATAATAATATTTATTATTATTAATAGGTCGTTACAACAGGAACGGGTGGACTTTAATACAGGGAGGCTTTTCTAAGTGTATCCATTTTTTTATTAAATTCTAGACATAAGAATGTTATACATATAAAAAAATTATAAACATTTAAAATCACTCGTAATTAATTAATTAAATTCATTTTAACTCATCTCAAAAAGTGCGTGATTTATGGGCAACTCATTTATTTTACGCGCGATCATTCATAACTAACACGCACACAAGTTTGTTTCTAAAGAGTACAACGCATTTATAAATGACTACCGCATTGTCAACAAGTTCTGTTTTTAGGGAAAAGAATTGCAATTTTTTTTTGGAAATAAAAGTTTCGTTTTTATTTCAATAAACGATTCTTGTATCTTGTATTAACTGATGTTTTTGCTTTCAGTCCCGAGACTATTAAAGCTTCATCGGACGCAGAACCGGTGGGCTAGCCAGAACCCACGGGTTTGGACCCTCCGTTATGGGTAGGTTCGCGCATATGCTCATGCGTGCGTTTAATTATGGTGTGTCATCTAAGGGCCATCGAGGTCGCGGTTCGGACCGAGACCCCGACGGCCGTCGACTGTGCAGTTAGCTAATCGATGGCTGGGAGCGGTGAGAACCGCCCCGGAACGTGGCTGTACC